TGGTGTCCAGATGAACTCCAAACAATAAAACACTTGTGCTTGAGTGCGGTACAAGTAAAAGAATATGGAATGAAGCCTATAAGCTTCTAAATATTGAAGAAACACAAATTCCATCTTCAATTGAAGAAATTTTCACAGCAAAAAACCTTAAAGATTCTAAGTATCATAAAGCAGCTCTTTGGCTTCACACAAACACAATCTATAAAATCTGGTGCTGGTTTACATCACATAAGTGGAGCAACTCAATAATGCCAGAAACAGTAATACCCTCATATATTAGAAATCGCATCTCCAAAGAGATAAAAGTAATAACTTCAAATTTAAATAGCAATCCACAGATAAACTATATATATAAATATTTACAATGTATATAAATATAAAATAATTTCATAAATAAAAGAGCGCCACACACGCCCGAAGATGGTTACATCATCGGTATAAAAAAAATATATATATATCATCCTTCATATAAAATATACTTTTCAATGCAAAAGTTTCATTTTTAATAAATTTGCAATTAATTTTTTTGATAAATGCAAATCATAATCTAAATTTAGATAGTATTTTTAATGGATGATATATTATATATACAGTACTATATATATTGTACTTTACATACTATATATACTATATGCTACTGTTTACAAAAATTTTTGCCAATCCTTTCTATCAGCTAATCAAATCGCTAGATATGCACTATATATACTATATATACTGTATATACTATATACTATATATACTATATATTATAGTGTCTAATAAAAGTTTCTCTGCATCTCTAACTCGATACAGAGGTAAGATACAGTCAGACCTCCCTAAATGCACATATACTTATTTGCGCAAGTGATACAAATCAAATAAGAAAAATTTTTATATAGATCACAAGATTAGGTGTAACCGTTGAAAATGAAGGCTTTTTCAAAAAATAGCCAGTAACTCAAAATTCTGCCTAAGAAATCACCTTTAATGTTTTAATAAAAAAAATTTCTTGCAAAATTTTAGTATATACTACACCTTACTCCTAACCTTAACATCATGACTCTCGCGTGTTATTTGTGCTAATAAAAAAAGATATGTTTTGTTTTTTTCCTTTTTTAGTTTGTATCACCTGTGCAAATAAGTAAATCCCCTAAATGCAACCTCTCTAAATGCATAACCTCTTTAAATGTATATAAATTATCTGAGCTTAATAAATAAATACATATTCTTTATTCTGCAAATGCATACTATTTTCTTAGCCCATCTATATAAATCCTTCTATAAATGCATATCACATGATAATCGGCCAATCAAATCAAAGTGGCACATTACTAAATATAAAAACAATATACAAGAACATTATTTTAAATAATGGCCCATAGTTAGGGTGGGGAACGAGTAGCCCGTTGGGCCCGTACGGGCTTTTTTTGGAAATTAATTTGGGCCATTTCGTCAAAACACTAGTCACATGATGATTTATCATATGACTAGAATTTTGGGGATGGCCCAAATTAATTTCTAAAAAAAGCCCATACGGGCCTAACGGACTACCCGTTCCCCACCCTACCCATAGTAGGCTTAAATTAGGCCAAAATTCAAAATTAATATTTATTATAGACAAAGTTTAAAAGTTTAAAATTAATTTTTATTAAAAGCTTAGCTATTTAGACTTTACATCCCATATATTAGCATAATTACTCTGAAGTTCAGGTGTTATAGCTAGTAACCCAAATTTAAAAATTATTTACACAGGTTGAATAAAGGGAAATCAAGCTCCAATTGGCATCATGTAATCCTGATATGAACCTGATTTGAAAGATATATTTGGCATAAATAAAAGACTTTTAGAATACAAATTAGGTTCATATAGGCATTTAATATGTCAATAGCTCTATTGATAAATCAATAAAGCTTGCCTTATAGCTTTATTTACTTATAGAGCTATCAGCATGTTGATATGTATTGAATTCCTATATTAATCTGATTTGTATTCTGAAAATCTTCTATTTGCGCCAAATATCAGTTTCAAATCAGGTTCATATCAGGATTACATGACACAGGTTGGAGCCCGATTTGCCTTTATTCAACTTGTGTTGGTTGGTAAAGATTATAAGTGTTAGATACTGTGTCTGTGATATACAAAACTTCAGCAATCCGCTTCAGAGTAATCATGATAGATACAATAAGAGGTAAACCATATGCGACAAACTAAAAAAAGATGAACGATAACATAATATAAATTTAAAACAATAGATAAATATATGTATATACGTATATACATATATATGCATTATGCATTATCATGCATTTATACTGTTAAGTTTTTCTTAGTTGCCCTGGTCCTGGTCCAACTTTATTTGTCGTCCTGGCCCTGGATCCAATAAAGTATTCTAAATTAAAACAAAAAAAAAATTCAAAATTATTATATATAATGATGTATACCTATTTCCTTATTGTTCTTTATTGACTTGATCCTGGTCCAATTTTTTTTGTCACTATAGCCATGGATCCAATTAAGTACAAAATTAGTATTCTAAAACAAAAAAATTCAAAAAAATTATGTATAATGATATATACCTATTTTCTTATTTTTCTTTTATTGCCCTAGCTTTGGGTTTAATTTTCTTTGTCACCCTGGTCTAGATCCAATTAAGTACAAATTAGTATACTAAATTAAAACAAAAAAAAATCAAAATTATTATATATGAAATAGAATTGATAGGCCTATTCCTTTTCTTTGTTGCTCTGGTCTAAGTCTAATTTTCTTTGTTATCTCAGACCTGGATCCAATTTAATTTGAATCAATATTCTAAAATTTGATAAATTTAAAAAAATTCAATATTGAATGTATAAACTTATCTTAATTATCATAACTTCGATCATATGAATTACAAGAAAGCCTTTGAGATAAACGTTTTAATGTGTTCTATGACAATGCAATTGCCTCATCTTATTGTTGTAAATAATAATTTACATTATCTTAAGTAGGCTAAATAAATAGTTGTTGAATTACAAATAAAAGAGAGGTGTATTTACCTGACTTACAAAGTTCTTAATATCTAAAAGAACTAAATTATATTATGTCTTCTTCAAAATCTGAAGAAACCAAAACTACTCTTACTAATGAACAAAGAAAAGCTATTATTGCACATAAAGGAAAAATCCTCAAATTATTCAAGCAGATCTCATTAATTGGATAAAACAAAAAATGGGTCTTGAGGTTCATCAAAGTACTATTAGCTGTTTACTAAAAAATAAAGAGACAATAGGTGAAAACCTTTCCACAAAAAGACAAAGAACAGTTCAACACCCAGAACTTGAAAATGTATTGATTGAATGGATTTTACAAAGTCAAGAAAGTATAATACTATCTGACGAAATTATAATAGAAAAAGCAAAAAAATTGCTAAATTGCTACATATACCCGAAACTGATTTCAAGTTCTCATATGGTTGGCTGGACAAATTCAAAAAAAGACATGGTTTAAGACGAATAGTAAAACATAGAGAGGATGCCTCTATAGATGATGCAATTATTGAAGCTGCTATTTTTCAGTTAAGAGAAATCTTGAAATAATATGATCTAAAAGACATTTACAATATGGATAAGACAGGTTTATTTTATCAGTATTAAATAAAAATAAATAAATTATATTATACAGTTACAGCTGTTATCATTATTCCTGTTCTGCCAATTTGATAAATTATTGATTTCAGTATGATCAATGTAATGCTTATTATTTACAAAAATAGTCTAAAACTTGGTATGTATAAAGGTGCTAATAGATTTGTAAATTAAACTACAAGGCTTCAAATGATCTCTACTTTCATGTCCTAACTGAAATTTTAGCTCATACAAAGATCAGTTTGGCTTTATAACTCTTCTAATTTTTTTCCAACTACTTTCCAGTGAATATGCTTCTAAAGTATAATACTTAACTAGAGTTATATTGATATTGGTTATCTAGTTATTATCGATTAATAATTATCACTGCTGTACTATAAATAGAGGTTATTTAAAGCCTTACAAATTGATTAGCATCTATATACATACGTATCTGGCTTTAGACCATCTTTGTAAATAATAAACATTATATTGATCATACTGAAATCAATAACTTATTGAATCGGTAGAATAATTATTTAGTTAATTTTCACAAGACAGCTGTAATACTTGGGCCACACAAATTTAATGTCTTGGTTTTCATAACATGAAGCTTTTAAACAAATTCGGGCAGCTGGCTTTTTTTAAAAAATTTCATATCTTTAAAAACCCAGTTATTAAAACATAAAAATGTTTTTTTACAAGTTTTCAAATTTTGATTCAGCCAGATTATGAAAACCAATGAATAGCCTTATCTCAATTAATTTTTTTTTTGTTTTTTTAAAGACTAGAACCAGACACTATTCTAAGAACAATTAACTATAGCACTTTGTGCTAATACCGATAGAACAAATAAAATAATGCCATTCATTATAGGTAAGTCACCTAATCCTCGTTGCTTTAAATCCATTAAACATCGTAGTCTTGGTGTTATCTATGCTGCAAGTTAAAATGCATAGATAACAAGTATGCTGTTTCAACAATGGCTTAAATCAAAAAATGGCTGGTTGCAAAGTAATTCTTTTAATTGATAGTCTAAAATGTCATTCCTATGCTAACTTAAAACTTCATAACACACCTGTTTATACCTTTCCTCCATATACAACATCTCGTATACAACCTATGGATGCTGGGATCATTATGTCATTTAAGCGTCACTATCGAAGTTATTTTATTAAATAGCTTCTTGATCAATATGAATCTGGAAAAAGTAATAATAATAAAATAAATGTTCTTACTGCTGTAAAATTTATTGTTCAGGCATGGAGAGAGGTATCATCAGAAACAATTCAAAATTATTTTAGTAGACAAAAATTCTTCCAGTCGACAATGATGATGATGACGAAGATGAGAAGGAGAAAGAGGAGATTGTCTTTAATGATGATGATTTGATGGAGGAATTGCATAACAATGTAAAGATGCTCAATTTTCAAAACACGATAAATTTAGAGGAATATATTAATTATTTAGAGAAAAGATATGTAGCCGAAATACTAAATGACCAGGAAATTATAAATCAAGTTACATACCTAGAACCTGAAGTAGTTGAATGTGATGAGAAAGATGATAGTACAGAATTACCTCAAGTTACTCACAATGAAGCATTAAATGCTATACATTTACTAGAGTTGTACTTCATACAACAAGACCTTAGTGATGCAGCTTATACAGAACATGACTCAGCTTTATTGAAACTGTTTGGGCTAGTAAGGAAATTCTGGACTGCTTCATTTAAGCAACTAACAATGGAAACTTTCTTTGAACCAGTCATGTAATGTACGTATGTAATAAAAATTTTATACATTTTTGAGACAAAAATTTTATTTAAAATTGCTTCTTATCTTCAAAACTCCCTATTAATCAAAAAATTTAATTAGGCACCAGAAATAATAAAAAAAAGCCTCTCTTTTTTCAAATTTATGTTGGCTTGTCAACTTGAACCTATTAAGGTTTATTGGGCTTCATTTATTTTTTTCCCCTTGATCAAAGAGTAATGTAGAAGAGTTTTTAAATGATATAACCATTTAATTAACAAGGTCTTCAAAAAAACATATACAGTCGACTCTGGTTATAATGAACTGATGAGTCTTATAGTAAAAATTTTTAAAAAGTTCATTATATAGTAATTTACTATATTTTATATATTGAACTTATAATAAATTTAAAAAAAAGTTCATTATATAGTGTGTTCATTATAAAAAGATTCGTTATATCCAGAGTTGACTGTATAATATTTTCAAAGTAGAGCTAGATCTCGAATTCCTAATAAAGCATAGATCGCATCACTTTTTTGTTTAAAAGTTATGTGAAGCTAAATGACTAAAGGCAAAATTGAAATTATTACTTAAAATTAAGTATAAACAAATGGTTAAGTGCCAATAAGCTTTTGGATCTTAAAAAATAAAAAATAACTGTTTTAATTACAAAATAAGTAAAGGTTCGCTTATAATAAAGTTAAATTAAATTATTATTGGCTGATAATCCAATCATGTGACATATATGCTATAATCTATTGGTTACTCTCTAAATGCAACCCTCTCTAAATGTATACCTCGGGTTGGTCCCGACAGTATGCACTTAGAGAGGTCTGACTGTATGTGAATATTTATCAGCTTATAGCAGATTTCTGGGCTGTAATATATTAATTTTCTTTTTTTAGCTCCAAAATCTATTTGTCTTATCTTTAGATAATAATAATTTATTAGAGATACATCAGTCTAGTCTAGTCAATCCTGGTTCTAGTAAGACTATTATCATAGTATTTATAGTCTCAATCTAGTCAGTCATGGTCTCAAAACAGTCCCTTTAATTAATTATATTATATTCTAATACATAAGATTTTATTGATCAAAAATGATGTTAATATAAACAAACATCTTATAATCGTCTAATCAATCAATTTAATTGGATGTTATAAAGGATTGATTCAGACTAGTCCTTTGATTAGTTCTATAGTCCCTTCAGTTCCAGATCTTAAAATGGTACAGACTAGTCTTTTCAAGATTGATGCAACCAAAACTTATTATTATTTTTTTTATTAACTAGCCTCTTTGGCATAGGAGTTTTTATTCAAATATAATGGGCAGAGAGCTCATAACGGAACCCCAATTACATTAGAGAGTACAACTAGCCACACGTGTGCTTTTTAAGTAGTCCGCATATAGATAACTGTACACCATAAGTTCTACACTAGCTGCTATATCTATAACCCAACTAAGAGATTACCTATTTAAACCCTCTGTAACATACACTGCTCCCTTGTGTCATTGGAACACTCCATTACATTCGTCAGTCAAGAGTTCGGGATGCGTACTGTAGTCTTAGGACTAATTTATCCTCAAGGCATCGTTGCTAAAGCTTTCTGTACCCACAATCCAGCTAACCTAAACTTTCGGTAACTTATGCCAAGTTTGAGAATGAGTACTTGTGAGCCGAAGCCACTATCATTACCTACTACTGCCCTTGTAGAGTTTATCCAAACCCCAGCACCTACTTTATAGACTGTCTACCATTTCACGGATCCCCAAACTCCCAATTCAGATAGCCCGGAAGGGCAGACCCCTTCCTTAGAATATACCAACGGCCTGATTGGTATAGTGCCTTGCCAAACACCTCAGTTCTGTTCAGTTTTCAGATCTTCGGTGATAATCCTTTATGTAGTGCCATTGAAGATCTGTGCTACCTCTATACTCAGAACTTGCCAAGCAAGATTCCGTGTGCCTCAGCCCTTGGATTTATACAAACGCTTTACTTAGGTTTCATATAACTCTTGCGTCATACTATAGTTCCACATTCTTCCAGTACAAGCTGATACGACCAAAGCTACAGATCTGATAATTCATCAGATTACACACAGTCTGCTGTAACACATTCTGTAAAATTTGAATTTCATCGCCAGTGAGATTCGAACTCTTGTTCTGCTGCTTGGGGGTGCAACAACTTACCAACTTCACTAAGTCGCCACACCCTTGCAACCAAAACTTTTATAATCTAACCTTTGTTTATTACTTAAATTTTTGGTTTTTTTGTTATTTTTTTTACTCAAATAAACAAAACTTTTATTACAGTGAACTTGCTTTGCTGTTTTATAAATTGAAAGCTTAAGACCTTTTGGATGAGTGTTTAAAAAATGATTTCATATCATTTATATAAAGCAAGAGATATTTTTTAACTAAAATTTCATGCTTGATTGAAGCAAATATTTTTATTATTAAGCCTGTTTGAAGAATGTTAATATAATTTGTATATACAATATATTATATATAAATAAAATTTCACATGTGTACATATAATCTAATGAAAGCTAGAAGTGTACAGAAACTCAAGTACTATATAAATAACACATCACTAATCATACCAGTATTCTATAAAATTTAAATTTTTTAAGAATTTGAATATCTAGATGGTTGTACAACTTAGTTCAATAATTTTTTTATTTTAATTTGACTATTCTATAAAACCAATATAAAGAATTTAACTAGGTAGTTACTGAGATAACTTTGTTTAAAGTTTTATAAAAATTTTGTTGTAATTATTATTTTAATAGATATTTTAATATTTCAAAACTTTGAATAATGATATCTTAACAACTATCTAGCCAACTTTAATAGATTTTTTTTATTTTAATTCTACAAAACTGTAAAACCAAAATAAAAATACTTTATCAATTTTGATTAATTAACTACTAAGATATCCTTACTTAATTTTTATACAAATTTTGTTAAAACTATTATTTTGATAGATATTTTAATGTTTTCAAAACTTTAAGTAATAAGATTTCAATAACTATTCAAATAAATTCAATAAATTTTTTTTATTTAATTCTATAGAACTGTAAAACTAAAATAAAAAAACTTTATCAATTTTGAATAGGAGCTACTAAGATATCTTTATAACAATTATTTTAAGATATGTTTTAATATTTTCAAAACTTTGAGTAATGATATTTCAACAACCATTTAGCCAAATTTAATGGAATCAAAATAAAAAAAATTATCACATTTGATTAAGAAGTTACTATAATATCTTTACTCAAAATTTATAAAATTTTATTGAAACTATTATTTTAATAAATATTTTAATGAGTGTAATGACTTAGAGTAGTGGTTAAGTTGTTATCCTCCAAGCGGCAGGTCTAAAGTTTGAATCCCACCAGAGATGTTTTTAGAAAAATAGGCCTGTGTACTAATAATAATTATTCAACAATTGGTTAGGTATATTTCCTATAATCTTAATACTACTATCTCAAAATGAAAGCTTTTAAACAATCCAAATCTAAGGAACAAGAATAATTGAAACCTGTTTGATAAGACCTGAATAAGGAGATAGTAAAGATCTTTGATGATATTGTGAAAAATTTAGAAACTGAAGACCAAAGAACTAGATGAAAACCTTGGATTAAGAAGGGTCCACCAACCTGGCCGCTAGAGTTGTATTGGAGAAAAAAGGTTCCATGCTACGGAATTAGGAACTAAGAGAAGTAAACCTGATAAGCACCTAAAGCCTAGATACAACACCTATCCAAACTAACTGGTTTGATAGTTGGGAGAGATTGGTATAAGGACTGGCTTGATGTGGATATTGGGATCAAAACAAATTTTGCAAAGATACCAAATATCAGAATTGTGTAGTTTAATGGTTAGCCCTGGCTACTAGTGGTAGGTTCGGCTGTTACAGAAGGTATTTGTAACCTAATCTGAAAATGCATAAGATATAGAAAGATTAGGAGAGTATATACTACACTCTCTCTAGAACAACTTAGTAGTATGGGAACCTTACTGGGTTATTTATAAAATTAGGGCACAAGTAGTATAGCAAATGTCGATCTGAGTGGTCTTCAATAAGAAGTAGCATAAGGTTAAATGCTGGCATGATTGTGGTAAGTAATATAGGATGAAAGACATCAGAGGGTTAAATGGGTAATAGTATAGAACTTTTGAGTGGACTACTTAAATAGGCGACCAAAAGTTGCACGTATAGCTACATGTATTCTTGCTAACCAAAAATATACTATCTAAAATATCTAATAACAATCCACCTTCACATGACATTACAAAGGTTTAATAAAAAAAATATATAAAAATATTTTAATGTTTTCAAAAACTTTAAATAATGATACGGCTAACGAAAACAGAAACTTGTTGGAGAAAAGTAGAAGAGACAACTACAAATAACAGTTTTTAAAGAGGTTAAAGATTTTCATATTTCCCCCGGACTCCTCTGTATCTTCAGTATGCAAGTTAAAAGCGTTCCTGTACAAGATAACTGGCAAGAAGGTGGTGCCCTTATACAGAAAATTTTAAT